GTTGTTCACCTCCCACACCATACGCTCAGCTTGGATCCAAGTTAGGTGCACAGTCTTGTCGTACAGACCACTTTAGGTGGTTCCGACTCGTAGGTGACCCGCGATTATTCGCACAGCCTTCACGTGATCGTAGCACTAGAGCGTTTATATGTATTACACCCAGGCCTGTCGTACAGACCACTTTAGGTGGTTCTGACTCGTGGGCAGGTTTAGTTGTTGAGATTGAGATTTGAGCTCTAGACTCAGCCGTACAGGTCACTTTAGGTGACTCCGGCTGCCAGTTATATGTTATTGATGTGATTCACACCTAAGCACTTGCATTTTATCGTGAGATTTGGCATGGCATACTCTTGAGCATGGTTGATATATCTATATTTACGAGCATATGTTTATTTTCTGGGAAGTATACAGGTTTTACGGCGAGGGGTTAGAATCTTGTTTTTGAAATGGTTTTCGAAAAGCTTTGTTTTTGCCCACTCACGCTTTTGTTTTGCGCCCCTCCAGGTTCTGGCTAGCTATCAAGTTTGGTGGTTTCCAAGAGGGCTTTTTCGGCATTTCTGACAGACGATCACCAGCGTATGTCCACCTTCGGGTGCACTATTGTAACGCTATTTTAATTTGGACTGCTTTAGGCTTTCTGCTCTGAACTAGTGTCTCACTTACGCTAGCACTTATTACTTCTAACTTATGTATGCTAGTTTTTTTTAATTATTCGTGCTTTTACATTACTACTTTATTAGCTTCCGCACTGTGCACTTGGCTACGTCACTTCCACGTGACGGCCAGCACGCCTTGATCTAGGTCGGGGTGTGTCACCTAGAATGCTATAAACTTCTTTGAAATCTTAATTGAATACAAATATTTTTAAGGATTTTAATATTATCTTAAAAATTTGATTGAATACACGTTGAATTTCAGAGAATCACTTAAAATCATGATTGAATACCCTTAGATTCATTAAAAACATTAAAAACCCTCAAATTCTCAATTGACTACATGAGTGCGTTTAGCCTCACAATTGACTAATAATAATATGGATCAAATTCTTTTTCAGACAGAATCAAACTTAAAACATTTTATTTAGATAGTATTAAATAATTAACATTTAAAAGTTAACCCTTGATAATACCTCAGCCTCAACCAATTTTTCTCAATTATTTCATTGGTCATTTTCACTTTAAATTAATTCTACAAGTAAAAAATCGTTGCAGTCTTACCAAGCAAGTGGTTAGAAACCGTCTAGGTAGTTGAAAAAAAGGGGTAAGCCACCAATCCTGACTTTTTGGTACCATCTCTTGTTTTGTTTTTAGTGGGAAAAAGAAAAATCCCATCGGAACCGATTGAATGAGAAGAGTAAGCCACCAATCCTGACTTTTTGGTGCAATTTCCATCTCTTGTTTTGTTTTGAGTGGAAATATAGTTTTCTTTTTCTTGCAGAAATTGTTAGTTTTGGTACTACTACACTATACTACACTTGTTATTGTTGTTGTTATCTTACCTCTGTTAATTACTCCGTGTTACTTATTTTATCTATAGATAGAATGATGAAGTGAGGAAAAAAAATTTCACACAAGCGTAGAATTACAAACGAATATCTCCCATCAAAGAAAAAAATAAACAGGTTAGACTTTGTCAATACAAGTGTCTCTCGATACCTAAATTTGACCTAAAGGATGAATGAGAATTAAAGAGCTTAGGTTTTTTTTTTTTTTTTTGTGTGTGTGGAGCAAATGTTCTTCCCTTTTTAGAATTTAGTTAATTATTGGGTGTTAATTAAAATTTAAAAGCTACTTGTTTTGAATCTAATAAAAAAATAACTACTAGCGTTGATTTGTTAATTAACATTTAAGAGTTAATAATCCTTGATGATATGCCTCAACCTCAACTAATTTCTCTTCATTATTTCATGGGTCATATTCACTTTAAATTAATCTCACTAATCAGAAATCGCTACAGTCTTATTAAGCAAGTGGTTGGAAAGCATCCTGCAAGTACTCGGAAAGTGTCCATCAAGTAGTTGGAAACCGCGTCCAGAATGCATGGAGGCCTCAGAAGGATTTGGATTTCATCAGAATCCAATTGTGAGAATACTAAGAATTCTCACATTCTAACCGTTCATTTTATATCACAAATTATTTTGACTTTTTTATTTATAATTAAACATAAATAGTACTTAATGAAAATTTGATCACACAATATCAATAAACAACTATAATATGAGAATCTCTAAAACTCCAAAAAAAATCCAAAAAAGATCCTCATCCTCTCTAGAAAATGAAAAATTATTTTTTGGTCCAATTTAGGAGCAGGAGCAGGAGTAGGTAGAGCGCTGCCTGTTCACACTTACTTTTCTCAATCTATTTGTGCAATTTACCTGTCAATAATGGATTTGGTCCTTCGGATCCCATCCGGATCCAAATGGTTGAGATCTAAGGATTCTCACATCTTAACTCTTTATCATAAATCATACGATCATAAATCATATAAATTTTATTATTTAAAATTATATACAAATAATATTTGAAAAAAAAAATAATTGTATAATATACGATAAATGATTAGAATATGAGGGTTTCTAGAATCCCTACCATTTGGATCTCAATGGGATCCTCATCCAATAAAGTCCGCTTCTTGGTCTCTTGCTTTCTTGTTGGATTGATTCGTAGTATCTCACTTGGCTTCCCCACGACTTTCACTCTTACTCTCTTCCATTATTTCCTTCCCCCAAAACCTCTCTTTTGGTCTGCTCATACTTTTGTGTGAGTATTTTGATCGTGGTTTTTCGTTCACTTTTCATTTTCTTTGCAATGGCGATGAGCACCCAAAGAGCCTCTGCCCCACTTCTTTCTCTCGAATCAGCTCCTCGATGGAAGTACGATGTGTTTTTGAGTTTTAGGGGTGTAGACACCCGCAAGAGTTTCGTATCCCATTTATACCGGGAATTGCGCAAGTTCCAAGGAATTACGACTTTCCTTGACGATCGAGAGCTTGAAGAAGGAACAAGTATTCCACTTGAGCTCCCGAGTGCGATCAAAGAATCGCATGTTGCAATCGTTGTTCTTTCACCAAACTATGCTTCTTCCAAATGGTGCTTGAATGAACTTACAGCCATTCTTGAATGCATGGAAGCTAGGAACTCAGTTTTGCCGGTCTTTTACGAGACAGATCCATCTGACGTTGGAAATCAACGGGGATCTTTTGCCAAAGCCTTCGCAGAGCATGAAGAAAAGTTCATCACTACCGAAGATAAAAAGAAGGTTGTCCAATGGAAAGCTGATCTAAAAAGATTGTCCAAAATTTCTGGTTGGCAGTCAAAGCAATCCAAGTAAGCATGCATGAACAACTTTAAATTCCCATGTCCTAACAGAGTCAAACTTGAATGCTTCGTTTATGTATTTTTTATTGGTTATTTTATACCTTGTAGGTGTGAAAGTGAGCTTATTGAAAAAATCGTCAACAGCGTGTGGAGGAAAGTGCAAGCTGCGATCACCGTGTCAGATTCCTCACAGAAATTAGTCGGAATTAATTCTGGGCTTGAGCAACTAGGTTCGCTATTAGCTCATGATGCCAATGATGTTCGCTTTATAGGGATAACGGGGATGGGCGGCATCGGTAAGACAACCCTTGCCAAGCTAGTTTATGATAGAATCTTCCATCATTTTGAAGTTTACTGCTTTCTCGCAAATATCAGAGATCGTACTCCAGTTAGTCTTCAACAACAACTTCTTTTCCCAGTCTTGAAAGAAAAGATTGAGCAAGTTTGGGATCAACAGTTGGGAATCATATACATAGAGAAGTGCTTAAGCAACAAAAAGGTTCTTCTTGTACTTGATGATGTGGATCAAATAAACCAGCTACAAGTACTAGCTGGAAAAGAAGCTTGGTTTGGTAGTGGGAGTAGAATTATCATTACAACTAGAAATGAACGTTTGCTAGTCCAGCATGGCATAACTTTATGTCATAGCGTCAAGTTGTTAAATGATTATGAAGCTCTTGCTCTGTTTAGTCAACATGCCTTTAAGAAAGATCTGCCCGAAGATGGGTTTTTGGAACTGTCTAAGTATTTCGTTAATCATGCTGGAGGCCTTCCATTAGCTCTTGAACATTTGGGGTCGGCTTTGTTTAAGAGAGGTCTAGATGCATGGAATAGTGCACGGGATAATCTAACGAAAATTCCTAATCCAACAATTTTTGATAAACTCAAAATAAGTTATGATGGACTAGAAGAGATGGAGAAGAGAATTTTTCTCGATGTTGCATGTTTTCACAAAGGGAAGCTAGACAATTCCTTTGATATTTTAAGCCGGATCTTGATAGATGCTCTAATTGAGAAATCTCTTCTGACCTCTGAAAAATGATTCCTGTATGATACTTCAGTCAAGTACAGCAGGATAGGGATGCATGATTTGATACAAGATATGGCATGGAGAATTGTTGGTAACGAGTCTAAAGAGCCTGGCCTGCGGAGTAGGTTGTGGCTTCCCAATGACATTTATCATGTATTCATGACCAATACGGTAAGAAGTTATGTAAGATTACCAAGTTTGATAGAAGATATTATTTTTTTGGCACGACACTAAATGTGAAATTGACATTTCCTACATTCTTGGTTATTAGGGGACAAGAGCTATTGAAGCCATAAGCCTACGGTTACCTGAAATAGAGGAGGTGCACTGGAATTGCGAAGCCTTCTCTAACATGTCTGGACTGAGGTTTCTGGAATTTGACAATTTGATCGTTTCTTCAAGTCCCAAATTTCTTGCATGTTCTTTGAGAATTATGAATTGGAGTTTGTATCCTTCCAAGTCTCTTCCACCAAGCTTTCACCCGCGTTTCCTTACTGAACTAAAAATGCATGATAGCAAACTTGTTCGGCTTTGGGATGGAAAAGGGGTAAGAATATACCCAATGAATGCTATTTAACAATTTTTTTTATGTCCAATAAAATTGTAAGGTTTTTGGAATTGGAAGCTTATATACATTATTTGTTGTATTCTGCAGAATTTCCCCAACTTGAAATATATTGATCTTAGCAAGTCACGTAAATTGATAAGTACCCCAGATTTTACTGGTCTTCGAAATCTTGAGAAGTTGTTTCTTCAGTATTGTACGAATTTGGTTGAGGTACACTTCTCTTTTGCAGTTCTTAAAAGACTTAAAGTTTTGAGCCTTGGTTTCTGTGAAAGTATTAAGAGTCTCCCAAGTGAGCTAGAAATGGATTCCCTTGAAAATTTAGATCTTACTAGATGCTCCAAAGTGAAAAAGATTCCAGAATTTTCAAAACAGATGAAAAATTTGTCCGTGGTTTCATTAGGTGGGACTGCGATTGAGAAATTACCTTCAACAATTGGACATCTGGTTGGACTTACTGGTTTGTTTATTAATGAATGCAGAAATCTGTTGGATATTCCTGTTGAGATTTGTAACTTGAAGTCTCTTGAAAGGCTGTATGTCAACGGAAGTTCGAAAATAGAAAAACTCCCGGGGAAAATGGAGTTTTTAAAGGGACTTCAAATGGGGGGAAACGCAATAAGAGAGCCGCTTGTTGGTATGAAAAATCTCAAAACGCTGTGCATTTATGAATCAGTTGGTAAGCCAAGGGACGAGTGGGGCCTTCTCCGCTTATTTGGAATTAGAAAGAGCCATGAGCCTTGTTGGCGTTTGGTGTTGTCTTCTTTAAATCATTTGCGTTGTTTGGAGGAAATACGACTATGCAATTGTGATCTTGGTGAAGGTGATATCCCCCATGATATTGGGGATAACTTGTCCTCTTTACGAATATTAGATCTTCGTGGAAACAATTTTATTACCCTTCCAGCAAGCATCAATTGCCTTTCTCGACTTGTGTCTCTTCGGTTGAATGGGTGCCAAAGACTTGAGCAACTGCCAGATCTTCCGTCAAATAGCAAATTACACGTAATCGTAGATAATTGTACCTCCTTGAAAAGGTTGTCGGATCCCTCGAAGTTGAGCAGCAGATTTGCCAATATTTATGATTTTACTTTCAGTTCTCTGAATTGCATTACATTGGTTGAAGATGAAGACTGGATGAATACAATAAGTTCAAGGATCGTGAAATTCGCCAGTAAGGTACTCTTGTCTCTCTGTCTCTCTCTGTCCTTCTCTCTCTCTCTCTCTCTCTCTCTCTCTCTCTCTCTCTCCCCCTAATGGTTCTTTTGGTGCAGGGAATCTGTCGTTCTTTGGGTCATAATTACATTGTATGCCCCGGAAAGGGGATTCCCGAGTGGTTCAACAATCAAACTGTGGGACATTCGCTAAACGTGGAGCTACCTCCTCAATCATGTAGCAGCTGGATGGGAATTGCTTTTTGCGTTGTTTTTGCTAAGAAAAACTATCCTTATTATAGTTTCGAAATTAAGTGTTTGCCTGGGATTTCATGTTGCATTTCTGCAACAGAGCATATGGTGTCAGAACACCTTTGGATATTTTATTTGTCTCGAGAACAATGTCAGGAACAGTTTTCATTTGAAACATGTTATATAGTTGAAGGAAATGAACCAAATATGGTGAAAATGTGTGGGGCTCGTTTGGTGTACAAGCAAGATTTGGAAGAGCTTAACCAAACATTGAAAATCTTGAAACGAACGCATGGATATTGTGAAGAGGCAGCTCCAAGTGAAAGTGGTAGTTTTGATGACAAAGAACAAGCTCACAAAAGGCAGAAGGAAGAATAAAAATTGTTTGCTGCTTTATTTAACCATTCAATGCATCAGAGTCGTACTTGGAAAGCTAAACATGGTGCCTTTTCTCAGAATCCATGCTAGTAAGTCACCATCTCAAGCCCTGTATAACCTACCTGATATTTGATTATTTTTTTCCTCAAGTTAATTTATTTGATCCAGCAATGAAGTCTCTGTATATACAGTTATTAATGTGTCTACCATCTATGTCAAATTGAAATAAAAAAATCCAAAGTCATAGTAGGTAAATAAGTTTTCAACAAAAAAGTGCAGAGTATGAAGATATGGAAGAAAAATATGTTACGATATTTTCACATTAGGAATTGAAGCAAAATTTATTATGCTATGAACAGATAAGTAGCTATAGAGATAATGTAAAAATGCTTGGACAGTGCCGATCATGATATGTGAAAAACAAATAAGGAAGCTCTCTGTACATCGTTCTTCAAATAAATGCAGGATATTCAATAACAATATTGTGCTAGTTGTGAATCTTTTCTTTATTGTGGGTACTGATAATTCTGAACTCAAACTGAAAGCAGATTCTTAATGGTGAGACTAAGATGCAACTATTAAGTGAATATTTATTTATGTGCAGGATGAGAAGTTTATCATACCGGGTAAATTTCAGCTTGATTATTTTCAGAATGAAACTTCAGCTGCAGATGTTGCCTAGCGGAACTATTTTAAACATGGTTGGAACTTGGTAGGTGATTTTTTTGTGCTTAAATAGGTCCTGATATAGCCACAATTAATTAAGTCCAGAGAGAAGTAGAATACATCGAAAACTACATTTTTTTAACTTTCCAAAACATGTTTGTTCTCTGCCTCCAAGACCTCATGTTCATCACTTCTTTGGTCTTCATAGTGGGGGCAAGCATGATTAAGGAGGCAGTGGAGGATAAGCATGGATTTTTCAGGTAAAACATGTAAATACTGTTGAAGTTTTCTTGTTAATTAATTTCAATTTGTATGCTCTTCTTCCATATGTTATTTTCAATTTGTATACCCCCCAGTTTAGAATCTCTTCTCCCCTCTTTGAAATTTCGTATGATCATAAACCGTGTTGACTTTCCTGTTCTTTCTTTATATTCATTGCATGAAGTTCATAAATATGAAACCCGATAATTCCTTTTGCATTAATCGATGATGCGTATCTGGTGGCGATTTTTGTCCGTCCTCCCTAATTACACATAATCAGTAGCTTAGAGGAGTCTGAAGAGCTTCTGTCAAGTAAACCTACAAGCTAACGTTGTGTCCTGCATTGATTGTTGGTGCATCTATGCCTTACGGTATTTCTTTACTCTTAATGTCTACTCCTCTGCAGTGCAGCTTGTTGCATTTCGGAATGAAGCTTACGTACTAGCTAGGTCAGTTTCACCACCCATTGACCGGGTCTTGTGCTTTGCCGCAATTCAATGATCGTGTTTGGACGTGGAAGAATGGCCATGGAATGAAGAACGCAGTTGAGCTTGAGATGTATAGTCGGAGATGCAAGTGGGCTATAAACACCAGATTTAACACTTGGAACACTGGCTTTCTCCTCGTCACCATGCGGCTGCAAGTTTGAACATTTATGTTCCTATTAAAACGCATTGTATTTGTAGCATGTATTTAAGTGTACAAAGTAGGTATTGATTACCAACTCTGATTAATTACTGGTTTCCAATAGAATGATTAATAGAAACATAGAGATTATTTTTTTTAGCATAGATTTGGAGATGGTTACTTCAATTCTGAGAAGCATCACCATCAGCTTTTGAAATTCAAAAAAAGGTCCCAAAATTTTAAGAGTAACGGAAGGCCTCTAGCATAATTTATGAAGCACTTCGACAGTTCTAAATAATCTTCCTCACAACGAACTTTCCTAAAGGCATTACAACCGAAGAGCTCCACAGCTTCATCATCATTTAAGTCCTCAACCTTATGGCCCTGTTTGGCAGCCGGATGGAATGAGTTATTTTCAATTAAACTGGACATGTAATCCACCCCGCGTTTGATGAGCAAAATTGTACACGGACTGAATTGGTAACAAATCCGAAATAAGAAAAATAGGATGGGTTATGCAATCCATCCTCACGCATGGATTACAAGTCTCGTCTCCGCCATTTTCTTTTTTGTCTATACGATGCTCAACTAGAAGACGTTCGTCTCTTGTTGTAACGATGATTCTACTTCTCATGCCAAACCAATCTCTATTTCCAGCCGATAAATCTAGTTGGTGTATTCCATCTACATTATCAAGAATGAGAGAAGTTTTTTGTCACAATTTTTTGTCAAAGCAAATTAATGTCAGAAGTCAAACGGTTAAGTCAAAGAAAGTGAAGAGGTATTATATATTCACAGCGGTGGGAAGAAGGTAGTGGGTTGTAATTTAGGCTTAAACCCAATTATCATATTTTTATTCAGATTTTCTTGCTGGACTTGTAATCATTATGCATGGGCCTTCTTGTGTTTGTTGGGCTAAATGCCATAATTATGAAGTAGTTTTTTTTTCTTAGTTAATTCAATTCGAACATTTCTTTGATTCAAAAAAAAAAAAAATTCAAACATTTCTTTCAATATTCAGAAATAAATTAGAATTATTTTTGTTCTATTCTAGTGTCGTAAATTTTCCATACTATTAAAGACCCCAAAAAAATAAAATAAAAAATTACACTTTTTTTTTTTTCCTGAGCTTCAATGTTTGGGTTGGGAATGGAATTGTATGTTGGAATTTTTTTTTTTTTTTTTTGTTCTTAATAATAAAGAATGTTCCTAATTTTTTGGGAGTAAAAACTATTTCGTCCTTCTACATGACGACATATGATTATCACTTAATGGGCCATAATTCTTAAATTTTAATATTTATATTATATTTATTCATAATATGTTAAAGTATAAATAGAATGCGTGAATTTTGTGTGTCTTATTAAAAATACTTGAAAATGATATGTTTTAAACGTAAAAAGCGCGTTTTTATGTGTATAATAGTGTCACATCCAGGCTCGAGCCCCCATCATATTCCGAGCTTGACTTCACCATAGCACGATATTGTCCACTTTGGGCCCCGACCACGCCCTCACGGTTTTGTTTCTAGGAACTCACATGAGAACTTCCCAATGGGTCACCCATCATGGGATTGCTCTCGTGCACTACTCGCTTGACTTCAGAGTTCTTATGGAACCCGAAGCCAATGAGCTCCCAAAAGGCCTCGTGCTAGGTAGAGATGAGAATATACATATAAGGATCACTCTCATGGGCGATGTGGGATCTCACAAATAGTGTATCATACATTAGAATTTTAAAAAATGTGCAATTTAATAGATTATTAATATGCGTACGAAAAACAAAAATTTTTATTGAAAAATACATACCTATGATACGAATATTATACGCAAGTTTACAAACATGCTAGAAACTAACAAGACTGAGGATACGAGTCGATATTATCTACCATCCAAGGACCCAAATTTGGTGTTGGTATTTGTTAGTACTTCACGGGTTCTTCCATGATTATACTCTTTGATGTCATCAAGTTTCAGCAGGCAAAGTACATCCTTGTGTCAAAAGGCTGCAACATCTGCCCTAATAGGCTAAGAGCATCCCTAGGGAGGGGTTTTATATAGGGCTAGAAAAATTGTGGATATAGTCCATTTTAAAACTTCGAATAATCTTTGAGGCTTTATAAAAGAATCTCTTACAATGAGGGACTATTTCTTTCAGGCTCTATATGGGGCTGTATATATTTATTTATGTAGTAATTTGATTATGTGATGATTTTTTTTTTTTTTTTGTGTTAGCTTTTTTAATGTGACATCCCACATCACCCAGGAAAGTGATCCTTATATGTATATTCCCATCTCTACCTAGCATGAGGCATTTTGGGAGCTCACTGGCTTCGGGTTCCATGGGAACTCCGAAGTTAAGCAAGAAGGGGGCTAGAGCAATCCCATGATGGATGACCCACTGGGAAGTTGCTCGTGAGTTCCCAAAAACAAAACCGTGAGGGAATGGTAAGCCCAAAGCGGACAATATCGTGCTACGGTGGTGGAGTGGGCCCGAGAAGTGATTCACCCCGGGCCAGGATGTGACATTTGGTATCAGAGCCTAACCCTGGTCGCGTGTGTGTTGACGAGGACGTCGGGCCCCTAAGGGGGGTGGATTGTGACATCCCACATCGCCCAGGGGAGTAATCCTTATATGTTCCCATCTCTACCTAGCACGAGGCCTTTTGGGAGCTCACTGGCTTTGGGTTCCATGGGAACTTCGAAGTTAAGCGAGAAGGGGGCTAGAGCAATCCCATGATGGGTGATCCACTGGGAAGTTGTTCGTGAGTTCCTAAAAACAAAACCGTGAGGGAATTGTAAGCCCAAAGCAGACAATATCGTGCTACGGTGGTGGACGGGGCCCGGGAAGTGATTCACCCCGGGCCGGGATGTGACATTTAAGTTGATTTTTGGACGTGTAAACGTAAAAAAAAGAAAAAAAAATTATGAACCTTTCAACATAAAAAGTTCAAATTATGATAAAGTTAGATTTTTATTACTTAGGAACCATTCGTTGGATTAGATTCTTATCTCAACTTCTATCCATTGAAAGATACAAATCTCCAATTCACTCTCTGAAATAATTTGATTTTCACGTACAATACAATTTACCTAGCACCAATTGGTAAATTAATATCATACAATATTGAAAAACTTTATTTGAAAATTTCACCTACTAATTCCCATGAACTTAAAATCCGTTTGAAAGTTTGATTCTTATGGAATTTAAAACAACATAATTAGCCAAATTGCAAGAAAAATATATAAGAAAAAAGAATTTTAAAAAATAATAAAAGAGAGTATAAGTGTAATCGTAAGTGGAGGGAGAGTGACAGAATGTGACTCATATAGGCTGCTACTTTTCTCATGGGACCCACTGTTTTTTAGGGCTAGATGTAAACCAAGTTTATGCTACACAAGAAAGGAAGTTACTAGCCCAAGCGGTGGATCTAGCCCCATTTTCCTCCCATTGGAGATGAAATTTCTCACCAAGGCTTGAAATATAGTAGCCTCTTGAAGGATAAAGCCCCATATGGGAATGCTCTAACTAGCAACTGCTAGGCTGCTTTGGGTGGTTCAGGTTCTTCCTATAATCTGCACTCGGCTTTGGGTGGTCCTTCCTTTATACTTGGAAGAGTGTATTGTAGTGCATGGTGTTGATTTGCTTAGAAAAAGTATGCTATGGAGGATAGGCAATGGACTGAACACACAGTTTTGGATGGACCCTTGGATTTTAGAGAGCCGCTAATCAATAAACTTGATAGCGTTAGTGATATGTCTACGAACTTTGTGTTGCTGCTTACATTAAAGATGGTTGGCGGGATCTAAACAAATTAAGGAATGATCTTCCAGAAGAGCTGGTCCAAATAATAGCTAGTCACCCTCTTGGTGCTTTGTGTGCTGGCATGTATAAGATAATATGGGGACAAAGTTCAAATGGTCAATTCAGCGTCAAAACAGCTTATGATCTCCTTTTTTAGGGAGTTGAATGGTCTCATTCTCCATCGTATTATATATGGAAATTGAAGTGCCATCCAAAATCTAAGATCTTTCTTGGTCAATTACCAAAGATAGGCTTTTAACAAATGCGCAAAAGGCCAAGAGAAACTCGACTCTTGATTCTTCTTGTACTTTGTGCTCTTGGCCTTAAGAAGAGCAAGGTTGTCCTTTAACCTTGATGTTGAAGCTTGGTTACTGGCTAATTTGAAATACAAGGCAGTATGGTGTAAACAAACTGGGTGGGGTAGTATATTTATTTTCATGAAGATTTAGAGGCCCAAAATACAAGTCGAGACCGTAGTAGTACGAAATACAATACCAAACTGAACAAAGGTAGAGTTGAGAATTGAGTATTGACACAGAACACAAGTACTGATCCTACGAGGAGCTACAATCAACTATGATCCAGGTGATGAAGAACATGGAGAAAGCTATCATGGATACCAGGGGAGAGATCATCAAGTTGTGCTCATCCGCTTGCGAGTTACAAACAAGGTTGGAGACAAAATTCCCTAATTTGTAATGAGTTTAAGAATTCTTTTTTTGGTTAAAATAATGCACAAAGTTAATTATGGAGAGTAAATTAATAATTAAGCTCGCAATCTATACGAAATATTACGGGTATATGGGCAAGAAAATGACAATATTATCTCCTATAGTGTGTTATGTGCAACTTATGTGATTTAAATTGATAAATTACCATCAAATTTTTTGTCAAGGATGAAATTGGCAAATAATAATCAGTTTAAGGACATATTTTAGCGAAAAAAGTCAGTTTAGATACTTGGTTTTTCACTCGCATTATAGTCGATAGACTGGAAGATTTTTTTATTATTCAAGGATGAAATTGGCTTGAATTTCCCCAATGTTTTTTATTTTATTCAAGCTAAATTGTACACTAACTACACTTAGAAGAATAAGAAAGTTTGAACGTGAGACAGACTGATTTGAAAAGAAAAATTCAAACCATCAGTTGAATCCACCATTAACTTCCCAGAAAGATTTAAAGTCAAGGCTAAAGCCTAAAAGTACAAAATACACAAGTCCAGCCCGTAGTCGTCCAAAACCAAACTAAACAAATCAAGGTTATCTTTTGAATAAGCGATATTATTTATATTAAAAAAGAGGAGCCTAAGTTTCACAACGGATAAATCCTAATAATGTGGTTAAAATTCGTTTTTAAC